TTTTTCTTCTTCAGAAGTTAAACTAACACTTATGAAGATTGGTCGAGGATCTTTTATAGTGTATATGTTAAATTCTTTTGATTCATCAATTGTAGGTCGATTTCCTTCCTCTAGTGATGGGGAGCATTTTGGATATCTTCTTCTTCATATTTTTCATCACTTTCTACTATAAACACATGATTACATGTGAAGATTTCCATTTCTTCTTGCTCTTCTTCTTTTGAAAATAAGGCTTGTTTAGTCACAACCATAATGTGCTTTTTAGCTTTTAATGTTTTATCGTTTGTTACTATCCATTCACTTTTTCTTTTCATTCATGAAAAGATTATGTTAAGGAAATCCTTTGGTTCATGTGTCATGAGATTCTTTTTATTCCTCCTTTATAAGGGTTTTCTTTTTAGCCTTGAACTCACAAACTTTCTTGAAGTCACTTTTGTATGATCTTTCTTAAACATTGAACCTTGATTCGAAGGCATGCTTAATCAATCAAAAACTGAAGTTCAAGTTGTGGCTGTGCTCAAATGACTGAAAATTGAAAGTCTAGATGACTGCACTAAGGTTTCTTTCTTATCATCAACTTCTTCAGTCGTTATGTATCTTGAAGCTTCTTTGTGAATCTTCAACTTTAAACGTGTCAATCCCAACCCTAATTTTATAGCTTCGACAACATTTGTCTTTTTTCAAAAATCTATAATTCTTGGAAAGATCTTGTGGACTTTCTTTGGTTGGTTCACTACGCTCGTGTGCCAATTTAAAAACTTCTTCTTTCTTTTAATCAGGCCTTATTAGGAGCTTATAAGCATTAGGGTTGAAACCATTCTCTCTTTGGAAGGGAAGATCATCGTGTTCAACCAATGGTCTTTTTATTAGCCTTATAAATCCTTTTAATGAAGACTTAGTGATTTTTTACTCTTCCAAGCTAAAGAATGGCAAAGTTAAACTTTTTAAGCCTACGATAAGATCATCATCTTCCTTTGTAGATGAAGATGATTTCTTTCCCTTTACCTTTGATTATTTTCCTTAATTATTTCCTTGATTGCTTTTAAGTTGTACCTCTTCCATAAAGGTACTTTTCAAATAGAACTTAGCATCAGCCAAATGTGCCTCTACTGTAGTAAATGGTTTGGTATCCACTATGACTATCTTCACTTAACCATTTCTACAATATTTGAATCATTGATGAAGTGTTGACAACTCTACATTATGTTGATCTATCTAAGGTCGCTCTAACAACAGGTTGTATGTTGTGTTAGCATCAATGGCATGAAACAATGGATTAGATTCCATATCATCAATGAAAAGTTGAAGTCTAACTTTTCCTATAGCTTTTTATCTTTCAAGATTGAATCCTTGGATAATTCATCTAGAGGTTTCTAAGCTTTTTCATTGTTTTTAGTGGAAGTAAGTTGACAGTAGATCCATCATCTATCTAGATTCAATTGATCTTCTATTCATGACTATATCCCTGAAAAAAGGGAGATCGATTATAAAGGGCAGACCCTAACAATAAGTCATTGTAAGAAAATATAAATTCTACATCATAAGAGGAACTAGAATCAAACATAATTTTTCCTTCATTCCCAACATTTTCATCAATTTGGAAACATGACGTGGGAATTGAATTTTGATTTTTGAATTGCATTGGCATGAAGTCATCTAAGGTAATTGGTCATCTAGGCCTTTGAACCACCAAATTTTCACACTTGCTTGTGGTTATTTTCCTTGGCATTGCCTTTGTCATCTTTTTCCTAGATGATTGTTTCACCATTTTGGATATTCTTGGTGCTTGCTTGTCCTTGGGAAAACTTTCTTTCTTCTTTTTCAACAAGTAACTAGGATCCATCTTTTGTTGTCTAAATCCTCAATTGTCGAACCACAAGCTTTACCCCCATTATCTTGAAAATTATATGTTTCCTCTACATTTGACATTGACATTATGTAGTCAAAAGATCCAAATTTTATATTCTTACTCCCTGCATTAAGTGGAGAAAGCATGTTAGTTACTGATGCTTAATTTGCTGTCACCGTTTTTTCTTCAAACTCAATTTTCCCATCCTTGTATACACTCATGATTTTATCATTTCAGACAAAACATTTTTCTATAGGGTGACCAATAAAGCAATGGTACTTACACTAGTTAAGGTCATTTATTCAATCAGCTTTTACTGATCGCTTCATCTCTAGCAATTAAATCAGCTTAGCCTTTAAAAGTTCTTCCATCATTTCTACGATATCTAAATAAAGAAAAGGATACTTCATTTCTTGTCTTTCTTTCAAAGATGCTTTCCTGTTATCTTGCAAAAGGCTAGTTTTTGTCTCTTAGGTCTTCTTTGAATTGATATTCACCATGATGGGCTTGGTGTTAATAATTATAGATTGTTTTCCTTCACCTTTATCTGTCAAAGTTTTACGCCCTTTACGAACATCTTGCTTGCCCTTCCTTGGTTCTTGCACTAGAGATCCTTGATTTCCAACTATTGACATCCTTAATTCCATGTCATGGGCACAAGTAGCTAATTCTTCAAAAGTTTTAGGCTTAATACCTTGAAGAATTTAGTGTAATCTCCAATTCATCCCTTAGATGCACATGTCAAGGGTTGAGGACTCGAATAATAGCTTTTTGCAATTGGCATTGAGATTTCTCCACCTGTGGATATAATCAATCATAGGCTCATCTTTCTATTGGTGTGAACTTGTGAGTTCAATCTTGCTCACCACAAGTTGAGTGCTGTAAAAGAGATTAAGGAACCCACATTCTAGTTACTCCTAATTGTCAACCATCCCAAGTTCTAAGTCTTTGTACCAATCAAAAGCATTGCCCATTAGAGAGTGAACGAACTATTTCACCATAAGATCGCCATAGGTGCCAACATTGTTGCAAGCTTCCATGAAGTGTGCAACATGTTGACAAGGATTTCCTTTACCATTGAATTATTGGAATTTTGGCGGTTGGTAGTTAAGTGGCATCCTTATGCAATCAATTCTTTGACAATATGGCTTGACATAAGTATATGAAGGTTGAGTGACACTTTCCACCTATTCCTTCATGACTTCTTTCAATTGATTGATGGCGACTGCTTCATTGGATTTTTGTTGAAAATTATTTTCCACTTCCATAATGGAATTCTCTTCATTATCTCGATGATTTTTTCATTGATTTTGGCTAAGATCGAATAGTGCTTTTCTAGTAAGGATGCTAATTTTTACCATCATTGAGGTAATTTGTTCATCTTTTTGCTTGATGCTTATCATCTGGGGTTCCATAGTCTTTGTAAAAAGCTCAACTTATTCTTCTAGAGATATTGTTCCAATTGTCATGATAGCCATCACTCTAGAATTCGCTTTTGACAAAGAACTTTGGCGAGGTGATGATGAAATAGAGCTATTGCTTGAATAGCCATTGTGTTCCTTGAGTTGATTTGCACTTGATCCTTTAAAGGAAGTAAGTTGTATGGAAGAAACTTCTTCAGAACTTGGGGACAAAGCATCATATAAAGAATTTTGGTTGAAGACTAGGAAAGTTTTCTCACACAATTTAGGAAGAGCTTCTATCTTTCTTCGAGTACCGTATGGATGTGTTGGAACATTCGTGCTTGATGATAAAGTAGGAAAGACTATTGAATTAGTTGAGAAGGCTTGACAGAGGGCTTACAAGCAAGATTCATTTTTAGAGCATTTGCTATTTGAAAATTCATTTAATGAAAGAAGATGAAAGGCAGAAATAGTCTCAATGGGAGTGCTAAAAATTTGAACACATAAATTTCTTGTTAAAATTTCCTGACTTAAAAATTGTGAGACAAATAAAAAATATTTTGATATGAGTTATAATCTCTGAAAATTCTTCTAATTAATTTCTTCATTTGTCTTCAAGAGTCATAAATTCAGACTTAGTCTTAATCAAGAACTAAACTTGATATCTTCACTTCAAGAGTCTTGGTGACTTAATCTTGCTCAGGAACTATACTTGATATATTTGCTTCAAGGGTCTTCATGACTTAATCTTGCTCACGAGCTTTTGATATCTTGATCATGAACTTCGTTGTCGCTTGATATCTTGATCACAAACTTTGCTGTTATGAAGTTCGCTACTACTTGATATCTTGATCACAAACTTCGCTGCCGCTTGATATCTTGATCACCAACTTTGCTACCGATTGATCTTGATCACTAACTTTATTGCCGCTTGATCTTCACTTCAAAAATCTTTTTCTCTCTTAAATGCTCTCGCTCTTAGAATGTTTTCGAATCTTTGAATGCCTCTGAATGATTCAAATAACTTTGCAAATCCCCCTATTTATAATGCCAAATGGGAGACTTTCTTGAGAATATAATCCTTTTAAATTATCTCTAAATTGTTTTAATATAATTGAAAATAAATCACGATGACTCATTGAAAGTTTTTTGATTGGCCAGTCTTTAAGTCTTTGAAGTTTGATTGGCTGAAGTTAGATGTTATCTATAAATTATCTTGATTTATTTAGAGATAAATTAAATAATTAAGTTTGATTTTTTATCTCTAAATTATAATAATTAGTATAGATAAATTGAATGTCCAATAATTAAATTTTGATTGGTAAAAAATATAAATATTATTTCTAAATTACCTTGATTTATTTAGAGATAAATTAAATGATCAATAATTAAATTTTGATTGGTCCAATTTAAATATTATCTTTAAATTATCTCAAATGATAAATACATGACATATAAGTGAATTGGTTCAAGTATGTGTCTTTGAAATAATCCAACTAATATGGTTATAATATCATGAAATCCACATGACAGCATGTAATTGGATCATAATTTTTCTCATTCTACACCCTTGAAAATTAAGATTATCAGTGATGCACTTCAATGCTCCAACTTTGCCTAGTAAAATGAAATATCATTCATGAGAAAAAATATAAAGGCGAGGGTGAACGCGCACACACATATATATATTCTAATAAAATTTCCCATGTTTCACTCTTTCTTGTTTCTATTAAGAATATTTTGCATTTCAAACATATAAGCGTATCGCAAAAAATATAACGACACTACAATTCCAAACAAGAGTACAATTTCAAACTTCAAAGCCTTAAAGATAAGTCAAGCTGGCTAAACTCCTCCTGAACATTTTCAGGCCTGTATCCCTTGGACCAAGAAGCAATCCCTTCTCTAGAACCATAGTGGATGTCTGTCCTTCCATAGCTAATTTCTCCAGAAAACTTTCCAGCTCGACCATGTTGTTCAAACGGGGCGATTGGTGACAGCATACGTTGAGCATGTTCCGAACCACTGGCGCTGCTGGATCCTGATCGGGAAATTCGATCCCCCATGAGTCCGAACAGCTGAGTTTAGCTCTCTGCTTTTCTTGGCAAGTGTTCGTTCTAGTTTGTGGGCATTTTGATGGCCTCCAAGTGCTTGTGAACTATAGAACTTCCTTTGGCAATAGTTACAAGAGAAAATTCGAGGTTCGGCTGGACTATGGGGCGATGAGGAAGAAGATGATGGCTCAAGGACAAGTTCTAGGTTGAGTTGACTGCTGGGTAGGCTTAGACGAAGAGAAGTATTAGGCTGATAATCCATTATGTGAGAGCTGAGGAAAACTGGAAGTACTCAAGCTATAATAAAGGCAAGGTGATGAGTTTAATGCGATCGAAAAAATGATAATGATGATTCAGAGGCAGGTAGGAGAGAGAGAAGCAAGAGGAAGCAAAAGTTTATAGGCAAATCAAAATCAGTCAATGGAAGATAAAAAGGAAGGTAGGGGAAGAGATGTGAAGCAGTTTGAGAGGGTATGTCTAGCATTATATTAGGTGCGAAGGTTCACTGTTCCTGCAACCACAAATAGTAAGAAGAGTAAAAAAGAGAAGACCTATGGAGAGAGAGAGAGAGAGAGAGAGAAAGAGAGAAAGAGAGACAGTTATGTGCAAAGATCAGTGGGGAATCGAAGGGTTGTCGCCTCCATTAATGGTAGCATTCTAATCCTTTGTCGGTCCAAGGAAAAAACTTGTAGGGTATTTCCCTGTATGCTCCCGAATAAACAAATAAGAAGTTAGGAAAAAAAAATTTCAAGCAGTTAACTTTTTTTCGATATAATCATCTAAGTTTTAAAGTTTTCTTTATATTGAATAACTTGTGAATCTGTATAATTTAGCCATCTAGTCATTGGTCCAATCGCACTTGTTTCGATCCTACCCTCTCTCCTCTAATTGGTAATCAGGTTTAGATGATGCATTAATCAACTTGCCAAGATAGGTATTAAATTATAAACAAGATAAACTGCCTTGACTAGACTAAACATGCAACATGATAACAGACCAGTTTGACACTTGCTCCAAAGATTATCCTACGGTGCACTGAAAAACCGTACAAGATTAGACATAGTCCCATTACAGTGAACCCACTGATGCTACTCGGTACAACTCTTTGATCAGTTAATGTTCCTAAAATCATGCCTTAGTGGTCAGATCGAGGACATTAAAATCCAATTAACTTCTTCAGCCCTTGTTAGCTCATTCTTCTTTTCATTCTTAATTGTCCAAGTTCAAAGTTCAGATCCCTATATGTGCACAAATTTCATGACATGAAACAGATGATAAGTTTAATTTGCAAGACATGACATTAATAACCAGAGAGAGACCCAACTGTGGGAAATTAATTTTTATTGATACGACAAATAGTTTGAGTCTCTTGGGAGAGTGATAGAGGCGTCTCTAGACAAATGTAACTACCTATTGAAACACATTAAAAGAAACATACATAGGTGTTCATCGATCTTAGCTTCAAAGTACTTTTTCATGATCATAGCCTGATCGGCACCTATCATTTAGAGTCAGAGCCAGAAAGGCAACTAATACCGAAGAGATTTTGGGGAATTGCATAGAGGGGGCAGATGCTTTTTAATCGTCCATTATGCCTTTGTTTGGGGCCCCACAGTTTTTCTGCATGTATGCCACCAAGGTTTTGAATACTAGTCGTTTACCTTACATCACATCTCTCTCTCTCTCTCTCTCTCTTTCAATCTTTCCTATATTTTTTTATTGACACAAGTTAAACTGAGACAATCACGTGGGGTATGGGATTTAAAACTGTAGAAAAGCAGACAAATCCAATCCACTATGTTCTCTCAAACAGGTCAGCTTTTAAAATGAGCTCCTAAAAAACAATGTTTAGAATTTGTTAACATACTCTTTATCAGACCATGATTGTGGGATCATAATCTTGCAGGTCGGCTATGATTGCGCTGAGCTTTGCCTATTAATGACAGACATAACACAAACCAAGAAACTACATACTGTTCTCAGCAATATCGTTAGTCACCCAGTCATAAAGATTCCCAAGCTCTAGGAACATTAATTCTCTTGTAAAAACATATTATTACTATTATTATCTCAAATTAATCAGCAGCCAATTCCTTATGTTCCTTTGTACTTTAACAACCCACAAGACATGGAATCATCAGTTTCATCCCCCCTTGATACCAAAATATTTCATGTATTGCTGACTTTCCTTGTTCTTTCTCCGAGTAAGTTAATTGGACCTTATTTTATTAATATAATATTATGGCGTAGACTAACATTTACACTATTAAATCCACCCAACAATTAAAGGATGACCGGTAATTTGGCAGCATGATAAGAAAGACGAAAGAGGAACTGCAATTATCAATATCCATTTATTAATTAATCTAAAGAAAACAAACAAAAAAAAAGGCATTTGCTTGATTCAAGCAAAATCGAGAGAGAGAGAGACTCACATGGGGAAATGCGAGGATTAGGTGAGAGCAGTGATGAGAGATGTAGGAGGGAGCCCCTGGTTTTGCCTACAGGAAAATAGATAAATGAGAAATGATCCTAAGAAGAAACTGAGATAAAAATGGTAGTGGGCATGTTTGTGCTTTGTCGGGTTTAACAAACATTAGAAGGATACGGGAGGAACTCACTATGAAGAATCCTGGTTCTCTTTCCCGCCTACACGTGGACAATGACTTCCCTTTTTTCATTATTATTACTGGAACTAAATATTCAATTTTGAAAGTAATGGTACATACACTTACCGCGTGTGAGATCAGAATGCTTTGATGCGATGTATTGTTCGGTTCTTTGCTCGTACGTGTAAAATTTATCATCTCTCTCTCACTTTTGCTAGGTTTTTTCTATTGGATGTTAGTTCTATATATATTTTCATATTATATGGTTGTAGGGAAATCTTTTATGTGCCAAAAGGATATCATCATAAACCTCATCTCTTCAAGTGGCTGTGTGTGCCTCATGTTGAAGCTAAGCTTTTGTAAATTTCTCTGTCATGCTACTTTATAGATTTTAGTGCTGTTTGGCTGCCATGAGTTTTGTTTGGTGCTAAGCTTCCATGAGTTTTAAGAGTAGGGTCACGTTTGAAACCCACTTTTTCCCGCACTTTGTGCACTTTTTGGGTGTTTTCTGTTTCAGTTTTGGATCCACTATCATACATATCATTGTGTTTGGCTGCAAAGAATGTATACCCTACTTCGGGTACGACTGCAATTTCCAAATCTTTTAAGATTTTAACATTAAATCCCTCTACATATAATCTCTTCTGTCTTTAGCATGCATGGCCCATGCAAAATGTAATTACTAATTACTACTCCATTTCACTTCCATCTTAATTCTAAGTAAAAAAGTTATATTTAATATTTGTTATGCTATTAAGCAAAAGGTAATCAGTCGTGCTACATGGTCTGGAATCCGACGGAGGAGATAAAAATAATAGTAGTGCTGCGTTTGTAAATATTGTAAACTTTAATGGTAAATGTTTTATGTGTTTGTAAATATTTAAATCACTGTATTTTCCTCTTCTATAACATTTCTTAGCATTTTGAGATCGTACTTAGGACACATTTGGTTTACAAAACGAAATAAAGAGGAAATGGAACATATATTATGTGAAAATATAGTAAGACAAAACAATTATTAAATAATTTGCTTCATGAAATAATTGCCATTCTAACATTATTCGAAAGTATACTTGGCAAGGATAACTTTCGAATAACAAGGAATGAGTAATAAAAAGGCAAGACTATCTTTTATTATAATTTATGATTTTTATTTTAAAATATCATTTTTTAAAATTTTATTTAAAACATTAATATGATTTTTAATTTGAAAAATTAACTTTTTTATAAATTATTAAAAAATTAATAATTTAAAATTTAAAATTTAAAATGATAAGTTATTTAAAATATTAATTTTTACAATTAATTTAAGATATTAATAATTTATAAATTAAAATTTAATATGTAGTTTTATTTAAACCTCATTTTATTTTTTCTCTATTTTCATTTTTGCGTTTTTCTCTTTTTCTTCTTTCTTTCTGGCTCTCTAGTGTTGCTCAATCACCAAAGATGTGGTTGATTCAATGGAACATCAATCTAGAATTTCCTATAACCAAATATGGTTGTTAAAGTACCAATTTTGGTGCTTCTTATGGTGAAGGGCGAAATAAGGGGAAAGCAAGAAAGAAAATGATGGTATTGGCAGATGGAAGATAATGTCAACTGTGGAAGAGGGTAGAAAGAGAAGGAGAGAGATGGATGAGGAAGAGAGATAAAGAAAATAGGAAATTGAAGGTTATATTATATATAGGATTGTAATTTCACAAAATGTTAAAAATTATTTGACCTATTATGACCCATATGGAATAGTTATTACCGGGGATGACATAGTAATAACTATTCTGTTTTTTCTCGGAGCAGCCATTCCTTAGAATAACCATTCCATGAACCAAACAATGTAATAAGAGGGTAATGAAGTATACATTCGTCCTAATCAAACATGCTGTTAGAGTTTTAGTCAAGAAAAGTTTGCCTATAAAATTGTAAGAGAGTAAAGAATATGTTAAACTTACTCAACTATTGTACACTAGAAAAAAAAATTCAAGCTCATTGTGTCTTTCAACACCATTATTGCCAATTTTTTTTATTTTTTAATTTTAAATTAGTTTTAAATATGTAACAATCGGCAACAAATTTTTCAATTGTGACAACAAACTTAAAGTGGTTTATCAATTTTTTTGGAAGGCAAAATAGATTTTATTAATAGAAGAGAGATACATAAAACCCAATATAGGGTTACGAAACAAGAAGCCTACCCGTAATATCAAAAACAAAGGAATAACAAAAAACTAAAGACTTTTTGATGACAAAAAGTTATCATTGAAAACAAGAAAAGAGTCCTTGAATTTACAGGAGGAAGATTTAAGACCTTTATATCTCATTAAACATAGCAAAAAGGTTTCAAACTTTAAGAATATGTTTGCTTTATAATTGATTTTCTGTTTTAATAAAACAAAAGCTAATGATCAAAATATTGAATGCCTAGTACATTTAGACTTCAAAGAAAACCCCATGACTTTGATTGACAAATAGGTTGGGTACTGAAGTCCAATATTTATTAAGAGTATAAAACTAACTTAAAGTATTGAGACCTTAAAAGAGGGTATCGAGATTAGTTTGTTTATGTATGCCTTAAGAAACAACCAAAGGAAGAAAGTGCATCAAGACTACTCTGGATAGTATTGACATTCCACTCATGAAGAGCTATATTTTTAGAGAACAAATGTTGAAGTATCAAGAACAAGAGCATTAAGTATTGAGACAATTTCTCAAGAATGTCGAATTCTAGAAAACAATGATTTTTGCATTGAGACACCTTCAGAATTTCGAGACCTTGCCTTCAGACTTCAGATTCTAGAGAAGAAGTCTAAACATATCTAGAAGGAATATCTTTAGTATCGAGACAACACTTTCAGAGAGTGAACAACAAAAGAAAGTGCCTGAGTATCAAGGCAAATTACATCAATATCAACATGAGAACTTCAAGATTCAAACTTCAAAATGGCCAAGTAAATTAGTATCAAGATCAGTTAATTTGCAAAAGTATCGAGATGACATCTCA